CTTCTGCATTTTGCTCTTTCACTTCCTGTGGGTGTTCTCATTGGCTCTTTCCCTTTCCTTTTTTTTTATCCAACATACAATGGTTGGAGAAGATCTCGGTAAAGAAGTAAAGCAAGAACTACAGACTTTGCTTAATATTAAACATGACTATTAGATGTCAGTTTTAGGCATTAGTCTCTTTTTTGCTAGAATAAAAGACTAATGATGCAAGCAAGCCTTGCCATCCACACTTTTAAGCTTAAATTTCAAAACTTATATTCTAACTACTGATTTTACCTACTGTTCTGATTTTATCTACTGTTTTTTTTAATCAATTTTAAATAATGCATTTTATTGTTTTTGTTTTTTAATGTCTCGGTAAAGCACTTTGAATCACCTTGTTGTTGAATTGTGCTATATAAATAAACTTGCCTTGCCAGTTTATGAGTGGTACAAAACAAATGTTTTGGATGTTAAACCTAAATAAGACTGTCGATATGTAGATACTGTTCAATATATATAGGACCAACACAAGTGTAATAACTCTAGCTCATGTCTAAATGCTCTTTCGCAGGCTGAATGAGAATATGAATGTATGTGTGGCTGACTTTGGCCTCTCCAAGAAGATCTACAATGGAGACTACTACAGACAGGGCAGGATCTCCAAGATGCCTGTAAAATGGATCGCCATTGAAAGCTTAGCTGACCGCGTCTACACCACAAAGAGTGATGTGGTAAGTTCATCTTCTGTGTGTTTGTTACTGTGTGCCCTACAATACAGAGCAAAGCCTTTCAGTATTAGAGAGGCTTGGGAACAAAAATACCCCTTCTCAAACAGTTAACAATGTGTTTTGGGAATTAAAGCTGTATAGTCAAATTTTTTTAGAAGACCTGAAGTACTCAGAAACAAGTACTTTATACATTGCTTAAGCATACCAGCTGGTCATGAAGACAAAATTATTTACCAAAATATCTGTAAATGTCAGTATAAATATGCATAAATATGTCCTGACCAACATCTGTGAGTGATATCAACTTTAGCAGCTGGTAAGCTAATGACATATACAGTATTTTTAAGGGCCTAAGTGTCCATGCACATGTGCAGTTGTGTTTATACAGTGCAGCACTTAAAATGATCTGCATTCTTTAGTGCTTGTTCATAAAGCAGGATGTCCAAAAATCCAAGACAAACATGACTGTGATATTTTTCCATAGCCAGTGTTTGACCAGTGTAGACTCATGTTTCACTAATGTGTGACAAGGTGTGTAAAGTCTACAGGAATTCATGCTAAACCCTTCCTCGCCCTCTCTCTCTTTATTTCCCTGTACACCTCTCCATCTTTCTCTTGCTCCCTCTTAGTGGTCATTTGGAGTCACCATGTGGGAAATCGCCACTCGGGGTCAGACGCCATACCCTGGGGTCGAAAATAGTGAGATTTATGATTATTTGAGACAAGGAAACCGTCTCAAGCAGCCTCCAGACTGTCTGGACAGCATGTGAGTATCCTTGACAATAAACACTTTGCTGATAATTAAATCTTTTCCCTTTTCATTTCACTAGCTGGGCCCACGTCCTCATTTTAGGTTTGAGAGCGTTTTAGTAGGTAAAAGTGAATGTTTTGACATGAATTGAGCTGCGGTTTGGGGAAGGCCTCGAAGGGGCCTGGCAGATCCCCATGCACTAAATAGAAATGAAGAAGTTAAAGAATTGAGAACAAGGAGGGAGGGAGGGTGGGGCACGTGAATGAGAATGAACAGCTTGCAGAACTGGGGGAACCTATATAGATGACAACCGGAAGGAGCGTGTTTGGAGGCGTGGTCCCGCTCCAGAAATTCCGATACATAATCTCCAATAGAAGTACCCTGTTTCCATAACTCAATCAAGGCTACACGCTTAAAGACTTCTCCAGTCTTTCTGCTTTTACAGCATTCACACTGACATTATACATAATTGCACAGAAAACTGAAGTGAGGAAAAAAGAGGATTTTGAACACGGAATGTATTAAAATATAAACCAAAATTTAACATGAGCCAAACGGACCTTTTAAGATCAAGTGGGAAATATAGAGCTTATTATTAGAAATTATCCGATATTTAAAAGTATTGTCCAGGAAAATAAATTACATAGAAATGCAGAACTGTTTATTTCTATAAAACACCATGGGATATTAAATGTCACTGTTCACTGTTATCATGCTAACAGTACATTCTCCACTAATATTCTTTTGTCTCCTCCAGCTATTCCCTGATGTTCTCCTGCTGGCTGCTGAGCCCAAAAGATCGTCCATCATTCGAGTCACTGCGCTGTGAGCTCGAAAAAGCCCTTGAGGATCTGCCAGACCCACAAGATCCAGATGAGATTCTATACGTGAACATGGACGAGTCCTCCATGGAGCTCGGAGCCGTTGGTGGTCGTGACCCCACTGGACGCTCATCCCCTCTCTGCTTGAAAGGCCTGGAGTCTGTGACCACAGTGGAGGTCCACCACCCCAACCGTTATGTCCTCTGTCCACAGCACGAAACCAACCGAACCCTTTCTGACTCCATGGAGAGCCTGGACATGCCAGTATCATCCTCCACAGCCACATTGCCTCTACAGTCATCATGCCACTCCACTCCCAATCGCACTCCAACTGTTGAGCTGCTCGAGGACAGGAATGGATCCAAGAAAATGCCCTGGCAGTGACAGACTCACTGCCTAAAAATGACAAGACTGGTCACTGCCAAAGTGTGCTATCCCAGTTCAAGTACAAAGAACATAATCCAGCCCGTCGCTGATTCCTTCTAACAGCAAGAAGAAACCTTATGTGGCTCTCTATATATAGTTTGCACAGACGTACTCATAAACAAGCAGCCAAATTCATTCCAAGGACATAAAGAACTGATATTTTATTTTCAACCCCTTTCTTATAAGATGACGGGTTGAAAAAACGCCTTATAAGCCAACCTTGTCTTATGAAGTTTTATTACACTATCCAGAGCCAAGTGAGTGTAAAATTTCATTTGCTGTAGCAGCTGGGTACACACTTACCAATAAGAGGGTGAAGAGGTGTACATTACATGTTACAATGCCACACACACTGCAGCAGAATCAGTGAAATGAATTCCCTTTTGCTTTAGTCGTAACACACCATTTCTGTTTAACTACCTGAATGCAAAAGAGTAATTAAGCTAAAAAAAACAAAATAAATAAACCTCTTGGTAAAACCAGCTCAGACACTGCCAGACTAAACCCAAAAGCTTGAACTTTACAGTGAGTCAGCACTTGTATGGAGGACCTGTCACACCCAAGGAAACATTTTTTGAAGCAGAAAGTCCACTCATTCTTGGAACAAAGAACCAGCAGAGCCTGTTTTACACAAGGTGAATTATCTGATCAGAAAACTTGTTGTTTTTAAGGTTATGTTAATACCTACAGTAAGAAAGTTTATGAAGAGGTTCAGAATGCCTTGCTTGATTGCCTTAACTGGACCCTATTTTTCATTATCTTACAAATTGTCAAAAGTGTCAAAATATGAACTTCATGGAGGAGGTTGTGCATGATGCTCAACCTCCACCATGGAGTGCAACCAACAGTTGCACAGTGTTGGCTGCACTCCATCTAAGGATTTATTCCCAATATACATCTTTTAAAAAATAAATAAATTGCAAATAAATTGCAAATAAAAGTAAAGGTACTTCATTAAAAAACATAGTAATAATACAGGATTTGCATCGGAGCCCGGTGTGCCGCTGTAACAAAGTCTTGTATCTTCCCCAGGGTTTTTACTGTTGGTTGTGCATCAAGTACACTGAGCGATTCATAGTGTGAACAAAGCAAGTCTTTCCTCACTGGCAGTTGTTACATGTGCATGTCCTGATTCACGTATGTATATATCTTTGCTATAACTCAGGAATCTGAGGATTTTCTAGAGGGACAGACGTACTAGTCAAATCAGGAGGACAGAGATGATTCAAGGTACAGGTGGATGGATGTAGGAAACGAATCCATTATCCATGACAATTGATGGGATAAACTCTTTACCTTTACTTTTTTATGTCAAGCACAGTGTTATTACACTTTTTTTAAAATGCTGATTTTTGTATTTCTACAACTTGCACTAATGTTTTTGTATCTGCGTGTGTTTATAATGTGTGTATCCTTTTTGTTTGGGGTTTTTTGTTGTATTTCAGTTATTTCCTATTCTTAGTAGCAGAAAACAAACCTGAGAGAACATGACACATTTGCAGTATTTTCTGTTGATGGGAAGAGTCTGGGAGACTGGAAAACATCACTAACCTCGTCATGTGACATCATCCTGCCACTTGTTTGGCGCTGTACATAGCAGAATCCAAGAGAAAGACACAGCAGTATGCACTTATTTTTTATGTATTTGCATTAGTTTATAATTTTGTCATTGGAATGGCCTTGACAATAATCTGGCACACATTTCAGGATGAGAAAAAATGTCAGTGAGGCGCTGTGTTTCTTAGTTGTATACATCAAAGGTACTTGTATATAAAATAGTATGTTATACTAGTAGCATTATGGAAATTTCTTGTTAAAAGTGTACATTTCTTGTAATAGCTTTGGTACTGTAGACTCAGTGGGAGTACCACATTGTTTCTGAACCACAAACAGTGGTGCTGAGGCTGAGGTACTGGTTTAAATGTCCATGTTCAGATGCTATACCACTTTGAATGCACATATGTCTCCTGTTTTATATCTGTGTCTTTGGAGTATTTTGGTCCAAAAATGAGCTTCCAACTGTATTCCAGCAAAAACTGAAACTCCATCTTACATTCAAAGCCTTAAATTTCATGATTTTACCAAGTGCCTTCACAGAGCCAGTATTTTGCATTACAGTGCATGTGTGTGTCGACTGCGATTTTTCCTGTTGTGTTTTTTTGAATTGGGAGAAAATTGTACTATAACTGCCTTATATTGACACTGTAATGATTTGTAAACAAATTTTTATACAGTATATACACTATTTTGCATAAGAAATAAATCAGTTAATTCATGAATGATTCATGATTTATTAATTCAGTTAACTGGTATAAACAATACAGCAGATACTGAGGTGACATTTGATCTTATTGAGATATCTGATCTCAAAGCAGGTAAGAAACTGAGATAAGCAACTCTGTGGATGAGATTTTTTTGAAATATGTTATTTAAAAAAATAACATTCTTTGAAAGATGCACAAAATTATTTATTTCTTTAATGGGTGGTATCAGAAGTGGATGTAGGAGATCTGCACATCGCCTTCTATGTCCAGCATGTCGATCTCTTTGAAGGACTGCCAGCGATGGGAAAAGTCAAACAGGTGCTGCCCGTTCACAAACACCTTAAACCTCTGGTTCCCACAACGGATTGACATCTGAGGGACAGAGAGAAAACTTTTGAATGCTGACACACAAAGTTTTCTAGAATTTGCCAAAATCACATTAAAATTTGCTTCTAAAATTCATCATTAGGACTTGATATTACGACTGCGTGACTGATGTTACTTACATCAAAGTACTGGCCCTCCATAAATAGATTCATGCTCATTTCTCTCTCCTCCTGGCCCCAGTTTCCTCCAATCATACTGTTTCTTACCCTTCCTTCCCTGAATCTCGGATGGATGTGGAAAGCGACATCTCGAGATCTGCTCACCAAAAACTTGATCCTTAATCTGAAACACACATCAATGAGCGTTAAACATTCATGTTAGCACTTTAGTACTGCACTAGAGATTTCGGCAAGTAGTCTTAAAATCACACACTTGTGTGCTCCATAGGGAACCATGCCTCTGATGACGATGGTCCTCTTAGGGAACATCCACAGTAAATGGACACACTGTGGCTGTAAATGTTAGTCACCCATCTGACAAATGTTTTTGTGTCATAACATTTTATTTTTTAAATACATTAATGTTGCATTTGGTCATTTCAAAACCCAAATTTGGAAAATAAGAATTTTTTTTTTTTAGTTATTTGTGTCTGTTTTGTGTCAGTGTATCACCGAACCTCTGCTTACCTTTGATTGGTGAAATGATGGCCTTGCCCCTCCATGATGTTCCTGACATCATGCGGTGACTGCTGAAATTAAGTTTCAATGTTTCTTCTTCAGACCTAGCGTTCTACACTGCATATGGATATTTATGTAGAGAGCAGCAGTTTCCCCTTCTTATTCAGGGTTTTTCTTATAATGAACATATGAGCAAAGATTGTAGCACATTTTGTAGGTTTCATAGCGATGGTCTTTGTAGGACATCTACTATTCAGGAGAGCAGTCGTCCTGAATTTCTTCCATCTGTAAAAAGGTTGTTGTTGGGCATTATTCATACCCATCAATATTTCTTGAGCACAACTTTTTTGTAAGCTGACTTTGTATGCCTTTATTTATATGGATGAGCACGCATTCAACACATGCTCATCTTCTTAAACGATGTAATTACTGCAGAGTAATTACTGCATGTATATATTGCACTATTATTTTAAATAAGTAAAACAGAAGTTTTGCCAACTCTAAAGATTTCACAAACTTTTTCTTTGTGCCACTCTGACTACTGAGGCAACAGTATATGTGTGTGACTGTAGTAGCTGCTATCTAGTGTCTAGTGTGAGAATACCACAAGTCGCCCTTTTTAACGCAATTTAGTATCGGTATACAGAACTGTTTTCCTAACAGAGCCACTGTTATAATTAAGTGAAGGTGCTCCCAACTATTTTGAACCTTTGGCTTCTAAAATATGTGGTTCAATTGCGTGCTGCGTGCAGCTAGACCGATATTAAAACAACAACAAAACAACAATTTCAACCATCAACTCAAATATTTGGTTCTAATTGAACAGAAATTTCTATGAACTTGCAAGAACTGTGTAGGACATGAATCAGTTGTGTCAGATCCTGAATTTGAAATTTCCACTGAAATCACGGGTAAGAGGCAAGTGGAACCAAGCTGACTTCTGCTAAATGGGTCAAACTGGGCAGAAAGTCTACAAACACATAACATCCTTATAGAATATGATGTAACACTATAGATCAACTTACCTCAGAATATATAAAGCATATAAACAATTACAGCAATATGATGCAACAAACACAGCAGTGCTACTAATCCAAAATACTCAAAGCTTCATAGAACTGAAACAAACATTTATTTTTAGGCCTTCGTCGTGTCGCTGTGACGTAATCGGCCTTAAAATGCGGCCTTTAAGGCTGCAGACCCTGAATTGGGATACAGCCTCTGAATCGCTGCATCTTGTAGCTGTGTCGTCTTAAATTGGTCATGTGATTTTGACGCGCCGGCGCGTCCGGCAACCCCAGAGGTTTAACTTAATATTTAAGTGTCTCTTGGTTTTAGACTAGTTGTTTAGTCTAATTTGATGTTTTAAACCAGAAAAGGAAGAAGAGGGCTTAGAATTACAGGTAAGAACTGCTCAGTGGTATGTGATAAACTGTAAATGTAAAGCTTACAGGTCAGTCCTCATGTTTTTAAATCAGATTTTGAGTCTGTACATGGCACATTATGCTTTTGCATGTTGTGAAATGTGCTGCAAAACAAACTGAGGTAAACTAACTGGTTTACTGTGATGGATTTAAAGTGCGTGTGACTGGTGCGCAGTGGCTGTGGTGCTCACGGTCAGAGTTCAGTCACAAAGAGGGTAACAGAGATGAATTTAAAGTTAAGGTGATGGTGCTTAGATTCATTCACAGACTGAAACCTTCACACCAACTTTATCCTGTGTCTCCTAGTTTTAGACTAGTTGTTTAGTCTATTTTGATGTTTTTAAACCATATAGTCAAGGAAAACAACTAAAGGGCACTTTGTGGATCAGTGAAGACAGACATACGGTACAGGGACGCAAAACGAACCTCTGTGCTCTGCTCTGTTTACTTTATTTCTGGGTTATGAATATTATGTAAAGGTAAATGTTGGTTATACTCCAAAGCATATACAGTACACACTGTGTATAAATGTTTTAACACCTAATTTTAGTGCAGTGTATTTCATGTAAGTTTGAACTTGACATTTTGTTTTCTGTTGTGGGTTGTTATAGCCTTCTACTCCAGTCGCTTCTGAAAGGGCCTGTTGGCTCAGTCAGCTGAACTGAAGCCTGCTCGTGCTTCAATGTGGAGATCTGGTCTGTTAATAGTGTTGGTGAACTGAACCCTGGCGATTAAACTAGCCCTGGGGATAGGAATCAAAGCTGGTGATAACAACTGTGTATAGATGGTCTTTTTAGCCGCATTCTTCCCGTTAGCTCGAAGCTAACGGGAGGTCGAGACCTACTACAGCCGGGTGGAATACCGCTTTCCCGGCACATCGTGCCTCGACCTCCCAGTTGGCTTCGAGCCGGCGTCCGAAGAATGAGGCTAAAAGTTTTGCGAGATCCCGAGTTTGTTTTGCGAGATCTCGCAAAAGTCCGTCTTAATTTTTTTTTCTCCCATGTTCCCTGCGGGGCTCCGTAGATTAGTGTACCATAAGAGCAATTTAGTATGTTTTCAGAGGGGGGGGTGTTTACCTGCAATGGGTGCTCTTTTTCGCTTCCGTTGCGTACGCCTTGCATGCCGGTCCGAGTCTGACACAGGTTTGTCGTCGTGCCCCATGTGCAGTGTTGGTGCCCAGTCTGGATTTGTTACATCCATTTCATATGCTGGGTTGCCTGCAATAATGCCAAATCAAAAGCTACTCAGTCGACATGACGTGGTTCTGCAGCATCACACATTAGCATGTTTTATCTCGTTATCTATGAAAAAACCCACTAAAAGCCTTCTAGTTTGGTCCCTTTACAGCATCCTGCCATGCGATTCCATTTGTTCCTGACCACCGAGAACACTCACGTTAACTTTTATCGAGTGGAAAAAAAGTTAGC